TGTTCCCTTTGTTCCCAAATGGGTGCCTCTATTGTATCCTGGAATAGACAGGTCCGACCGTATCATCCACGGGTCTGGACCATAACATGTGATGTGGACTATCACCTGATCTCTACGCATGGCATCTGTGGCTGAGTGGTGTGAGATATTGGTGAAGCACGTGATCTGTGGTGTGAGAAAAGTCACGTGCGGACTTTTGTGGTGAAAATCTGTGACAGACATATCTCCGGTGGTGTGTATCCCCTTCATTGGATTCTTCTGGAGTCCGACCGTTGCTTCTAGGTGGGATAATATTACTGTATAAATTAGGCTTACCTAATACCAGTGCTACTTGTCACATGTGTGGATATCAAGTGATATGTCACGTGACTAGACCTGGACCTTCGGGGCGTCTAGGACTGTTAGTACTTCGCGTACCGGTTCGTTCCTTTCTGAACAGCCTAGCGCTGATGTCAAATGATGTCTTGGTCATGTGCAGAGGTGAAAACGTGAAAATCTGTGACAGAGGCATGGATGTGGCTTATATCATTCAACTGAAGCGTACTCCTTCCAAGATCATCTGATGTCCTTCATAAGAGGAATTGCGAAAGCCCTCATGTGGTGTAGATCTCTGATAGACCTCAATGAATGCATTAACTGTGTGAAGTGGACGTGATAATGCTCACCAGTTAATCTCCCGTATCATGGCACTGACTTTAGGCTCTCCTCTGGATGACAGTAAGTAACATGGTGTCCCATACCGAGTTCATCTTCGTCTTTACCAATGCCGCTCCACGAAAATCTTCGTCAACTGGACATGGCTGGGGTATGTTCGAGAAATCTACTGGTTCTGTTGAAAGAAAAAGTTTCAGGAACCCGACATCCCAATCTTCTCCTTCTGCCAAGTAGTAATTGAACGGAATAGAGCCGCTTGATCCGTAGCCAATCGTTAGGGACCCATGGGGTTCCAAGGGAGGATCGACTGTAAATTGTCCCGCAGTTGGAGGTTGATAGTAGGATTCTTAAATGCCGAGAATCAGCGGAGCTCAGGCGACAACGTTGACTATACAGTAGATCACCTATTTTCAGATTGGTGCTCTCAAAGAAAAATAGCGCTGGATACAATGGCAGATTGGTACCATTCACGATCCTTATGCCATACTTTGTGTCCTCATCGACGATGAGTTCAACTACACCATCGACGTTCAGGTTGGGTCTGCAAGGCCGGGCGTCTGCAAGTAGGTCATCATCAGGAAATGTGAGTTCGGTGAATTCTACGAGAACGTCGTGGCGTAGAGCAGCCTGCGTGTTGGTGCGTCTGAGGTGCCAGAAGTAATGTGCAGCACTACGAAGGACAGGGCAGACAGTGTCTGCATCTGCGCTGACATTGAAGGACAACCTGGTAGGCTTGTAGCGAGCAACTAAGGGGTCGAGATTGTCAAAAACGACAGAACCATTTTGGAGATCGGCTTTTAATAGTGCCAAGCTCGCATCCACGAGGATGATCTTGCTATATGGTGATGTCTCAGACTCCATTTCTTCAGCAACGGCTTTGAACACATCGTGTAGTTCCTTTTTGGAAGCAATACAGATCCGTAGCTCCTCCGCCACTCTGGCCTTGACTTGCAATACAACTCCTGACTGTGCGAGCGCATGTGCCAATAGACAGCCAGACAAAATGTCGAGCACACTTTCAAATGTGTTTGCCTTCCGCACAGATAATGTGCCCAACGGCGGCGTGCATTTGTCTATACTGGCATTCTGATAAAATGCAAACATGGCCCCGTCGGTGATGCCACGTGCTGCACCTGCAGCCATAATATATGAGGTACCAGACCTACGAGCCTTGTAAATAGGGCAGTTAGGACATACGACCTTCACATTGAACAATATGCGATTCTGATTGACGCCTTCACATTGCGGGTTTTGTCTAAGGTTTCATGCATGAGCACAACATGGTCGCTAAGAAATTAAGACTCACCCTGGTAATGCGGGTATGCGCTGAGGTATTTCGCTGTATGTAAGTTGGTCCACCCCGAATGCTGAAAGTATTTCGAGGAGAGCGGAAGTGAAGATTCCTCGCCCGTTCTCTTCCATAGCCACTTCTCGTGAACTGCAAGCGGAAATGAGAACGTGTGATCGGAGCCCTGCATTTGCAAAGCCCGCAACAAACTCAGTTCCTCGATTTGAGGAGTCTTCTCCATCTGCCCAGATACCCTCATCCAGATGCAGAGGAATGGTTGACGATACGGAAGTTACTCGTGGCCATCAAAGAAGCTTGATATCAGCACGCGTGCCTGACCCTGAATGACAACAATCCAGCATTACAGTCTGATTGACAAATCAGCTATATTCGAAAACCTATCCATAAACTTACAATATTATCTCCCTTCTTCTAAGCTATTTGAGCAAGCAGTGCTCCAAAAGACTGGTCAGGTATGCCATGGATGACGGAGCCATCATGAGGATCGAGATAATCATGGGGTATCAGCATTTGAATTTTTGCCCCATTGGTATTCCAACCTATCGGAGATTCAGTCTCTCCACCATGGCCGGCAAAAAATATGAAGAGAGCATCTCCAGTCCTGATACGGTCATCGTCCTGAAAACTTCTGATTGCATCTAATATTGCAGCCTGGGTAGCCCTTCTCATCGGTGAGGTATCGAATATGACCATCTGGAACATTGAGGACATTCCTTAAGTATTCAGAAACAGCAATTGCATCCGCAACTGCGCCTCGCAAATCTCTGACAGTGGCAGACTTGTACCGATTGACTCCGATAATGAGCGCAAATAATTGAAATTGACTTCTGTCAAGGAGATGACGATCGTAGTCAATGCATTTGAATATCTCTTATGGTAAGGATATAGGACTCACTCAGGTGTCGGAAGATACATTGCAGGTGCTGATCTTCCAGTGTCACTGCGAAGCCTGCGATATCATGAATGCGAACACAGCCTCAAAGTGCTGGTAACTGTTGAGTTTCCCAGCCAGCCCACTGCGCGGCCAGGAGTTTGGGAGTCGCCCGCTCTCTAGAAGATGGCTCCACGGGGCCAAACTGATGGCCTGTCCCATTGTAGCCACACCCTATTATATACACGCGCACTACTACTCTCCCACACCGGTGGTGCAGGTCACACCAGGGCCTCTCGCATCTGCGCTCTGTGCCCAGATTCCAACACGCCCCCTCGACCTAGCCACTGCTGCATCAATCCCATTGTGGGCCACACGCCTGTACTGCACTCCCTGTCCCCAGAGATGCCGGTCTCCATTCCATGTGCTTCCCTGCCCACCTTGGTCTGTACGCCAGTCCCAGCACCCCCTGATCTTGGGTCCCGGTCTCCGTACCATACGCATCCCGTACGTGCCCATTTTCGGTGACTTCCTATAGCGCCCCCACACGCTCGTCGCTCGCTCGGTCTGCACACCAGTCCCGATGCCCCTTGGATTTGGGTCTCGGTCTCCGTTCCGTGCGCGCTCCGTGCAAGTGCCTCGCTCGGCTTTTCTTCGGCACTCTGCGTGCTGTGGCTGTGCCGCTTCGTCGGACTGCCGGCCTGTCTCACTTGGCATCCGCTCAGCCCGCCCTTCGACGCCCTGCTCCGCCCTCGCCTCACTGGTAGGCCCGCCTCACGCAGTGTCCGCCCCCTGCGCCTGGTGTCTTGTATCACCGCAGCGGTGCCCCGTGGTCAACCCTCTGGCCCTCACCCTCCTGCCCTCGACCTCCTGATCCCACCTCTGCCTGGTCGCACCTGTCCCTCAGCTGCCCTGCAGCCTTCACACCTCGGCGACCTGCCCCAGCTCCCAGCCCTTGACCTGCCAACTGGATCACTCACCAGTCAGCATCATGGTCCCCAGCAGGATGTCACAGATTTTCGCCACAAAGTCCGCACGTGACTTTTCTCACACCACAGATCACGTGCTTCACCAATATCTCACGCCACTCAGCCACAGACGTGATGCGTAGAGATCAGGTAATAGTCCACATCACATGTTATGGTCCAGACCCGTGGATGATACGGTCGGACCTGTCTATTCCAGGATACAATAGAGGCACCCATTTGGGAACAAAGGGAACAAGGACTATTGTTATGCATCGGCCTTCCGCTTCCTATTAGTTTAGCCAGAAGCCTAGATAGGTACGATGTTCACACCGGAGAACAAAAGGGAAACCAAGATAGGCACGATGTGCACACACATTACTGCGGCAACCATCGATCTTCCCACTTATTGTTCTACTTCCGGACATCCTATTGTTTCATGTACGGCCATTTGCTTATACCCGTAGATAGGTAGCTTAGGTAAGATAGCCTGCTGTATGTGTATATAAGACCAGCCATGTAGGGGATGAAACCTCAGATTGTTTCTCCTCGTCTGCTACCTGTAGCACCCACTGAGCTCACCAGCTCCTTCATATATCTCTCACCCTTTCCTGCGTCTGCCAACATTGACCAGTAAGTCAACAGGCTCTTGCGTCACATAGGGTTCAGGGGGATACCTTTGGGATCAGGGGGATCAGGGCGGCACGTTCCACGTGACTGTCCCTTTTTAGTCTTTTTGATCTCTTGTCCGGTGTTACCATGACATTAGAAACAATCTGACATTTTCTGCGCCCCTGCTTAGTGTCTAACACAAGCGGCCGTGTATTTTCAGTGCAAGCAGTTTCAGCCGTAGTGCGCGGCTTTTTTGACACACATTCCAACCCGATCTCTACCCGGCGTGAGCCTCAGCAAGACTCTGAGCTGCCTAAAGCCTCAAAGTGCAAGGCCACCCCCAGGATCGACCTCGACGCCCACTACAAGTGTCAGGAAACCAACAAGGAGCATGGAAGACTCCTCACACTTGCGTCACTAGGCGCATCGTCCACAGACAGGCAGCGAGCAGCAGCTAGGGTTGTAGATACCACACACATCATAAAGCGCGGAATCATCCGCAAGCCACACGATCACACCCCACCGCTCGAATGCTACAAGCCCAGAAAGGGACGTCTTACCACTGGTAGTCGCAAGCCGGCACCACCCCCAGAGCTTATCACCTCCAACGCAGTCCCTCCCCCCGTCATTGCTCCCATTCCAACTCGTCCCCTACCCAACTTCATAAAGACAAACACCCTCGCACGTCCCATCCGCCCACTCCCTTCCAGAGTCAGGCCGACGATCCATATTGAGACCCTTACGAAGCAGGTAAACGCTACCCGCTTCAGGCTCCAGCCCATATTAGGAGCATTCTCATATCGTCTCAAGGATGAGCACCAAGGACCCATCTTTAGCCTCGCCACAGAGCTCGACAAAGTCTGCGCTGACCTACACACAGAGACACGCACATATACATTCGTCGAGAAGCAGGTTATCAACAAAGTCTGTCTGGAGATAGGAGGAATCGGTTTCAAACAGATAGGAAAGGAAGAGAGGCTGCAGGAAATCGCCAAGGCTCTGGTCTTCATCTCGAAAGCGAGATATTTGCACTTTTTGTATTAGTTTACCTATATCACAATGGAGTCAGCCGATCGTGCGCACGCATCCACGTTCAGGCAACGAATGGATGACATTCTGCATACAAACGTCGAGTCAGCACACGACGGAAGCACCCCACGTGCCTCGCAGCACAATTCACCAGAACCTGCACTAGGACCGCAGGATTCTGCATCACAAGTTGGAGGACCAGCGTCCTCAACCCCATCACTCTTACCCGCCTATGTTCCCCCCATCTGGGAATTCGACGGACACCAGTTCGAGCACCTAGAAGATGCACTCAGACAGTCCGCTCCCGGAGAAGTCCCGGACCACATACGTGAATGGGTAATCATCGCAATGAAGCTCACGGTCACTACTGAAATCGCCAAGGTCTACAATGTGCTTGGAAACAAGATGTACGAGCACAAGAAAGCCTTTGAATCGCAGATCCAGAACAACAAAAATGAGCACCGATTAAAGGAGGCACTGCTCCAAACCGAGAACGGCAAGCTCAAGGACAGGATCGATGCGCAAGATGCACATATAATGGTACTTAACGGCGAACTCACTGGAACACAAGCGGCAATGTTAGATATTGGAAAAGAGATGATGAAAATCAAGGCAGCAAACACTAGGCTGCGACACGAGCTAGCTTCGCTCAAAGCAAGCGGCGTCACTGTGATGCAAGGTCAAACGTCCGGCACGGTCCAATCGCACAAACCCGCATCAAAATTGCTGAGCCTCCACACTACTCGGGCAAAGGAAGTCTGGAGGATTGGCTCCAACAACTCGGTATATGGATGCGGTGGAATGAGATCAATGACGACGAGCACAAAATCACCATGACCCTGCTGCATTTGGAAGGTGGCGCGTTCACATACATGTCCGAATATGCGACCAGAGCAGCAGCACGACAGGCACTTGGCACATGGGAAGACTTCGTCAACATTCTCAAAGTGAACTACAGGACCCTCGACCCGGACAAGGATGCGCAGCAGCATTTGAAGGATATCTG